TTACGCTCCCGTGTGATCGATTCGAGGACACTGCCAGGCGGTGAGTTTGACTGGGGCGGTACGTCTGTCAAAGAATAACGCAGGTGTCCTAAGGCCAGCTCAGCGAGGACAGAAACCTCGCGTAGAGCAAAAGGGCAAAAGCTGGCTTGATCCCGATGTTCAGTAAGCACAGGGACTGCGACAGCACGGCCTATCGATCCTTTTGGCTTGAAGAGTTTTCAGCAAGAGGTGTCAGAAAAGTTACTACAGGGATAACTGACTTGTGGCAGCCAAGCGTTCATAGCGACGTCGCTTTTTGATCCTTCGATGTCGGCTCTTCCTATCATTGCGAAGCAGAATTCGCCAAGCGTCGGTTGTCTCACCCGCAAATACGGAACATAAGCTGGGCGTTTTTTTGAGGCTAGGAGGACGATATTTGGGGACCGAACGCAATCCGGCCCCCACATGAAAAACCGGTAATTTTTTTTTCTTGGGCGGCAAGGTGAGGAAGTCGGGGGGGGCTATCTCGGAAACGGTAAGAGTCGGATTCAGAAAAAAATCTTTATGAGGGGGCGACCTCAAAAAATCACTTTTGAAGAGGTCGTCATTTTGAGGTTTTTGGAGTTTTCCGGAGTTATTTGAGGTCGGACCGGGGCGCGGAGGGCATACGCATGTAGAGGGGCCCGAGGTGCACCGGAAACCTCAAAAAGGCCCCTCTCAAAATTGAGGAGGTTTTGAGGTTCAGGTACCTACGTCGGCGCGCATATACTCCGTCTAAGCTTTTTTTTTTTAGGGCGCCTCCTCAAAGTTGAAAAAGTTTGCTATCTCGGAGGTTTGCCGGCCGAATCGGCTCGGAATCGGCGTAGGGGGGTTTTTCGGGCCGGAAACGCCGAATCCACCCTCAAAAATCGCCTACCTCAAAAACTCAAAAATATGGCCTTTTGTAGCATTATTTTTGAACGCGTCGATTAAGGTCGCGTTAGGTCCGGTCGGGTTCTTACGATACCCTCCTCCTTGATCCCCTCCCAAACGGGAGGGTTCAAGGGGGGATCAAAAAAAAGAACCGCATTTTTCGCTTTCCCAAAATCGGAAATAGAAAATTCCGACCTCGGGGCGTGAGTGAGGTCGCTTAGGGGCGTCGAGCGCCGCCTTGCTCTACCTCCTCAAAAATTCCTTAATATTGAGGTGATGTCGATTTTTCAGTATTTGAGGTCGAGGGTGGACCCGACGCGGACGCCCCCCAAGCCCTATACTCAGGGCACGCGTCGAGAACGAGATCGAAAATTGGCGACTTTTTTTTTGGTTTTGAGGAGGTCAAAAGTCAAAAAGTTTGCTATCTCCGAGACCGTCATTCCGATCGGGACCCAACTCGGTAAGGTTCTGAAGGAGGTCGGGGGAGGAAGTACCACACCTCCCCCCTCCGCCGCCCTCAAAAAAATTTTTGAAAATTTTTCGGCGGCGTCCCTTTTGAAAAATTCGCCCTATGGGACCGGCGGGGCGCCGAATTTTTTTAAGGCAAAGGGAGGACGGGCCTTTCGCCTGACGCGGTCGGATCCGAGGTCGGTCCCATAGGGAGGGAGTACCTCCCACTCAAAAAATTGATTTGACATTAGGGTGGTCTGGCGAACAAAAGTTTGCGATTTCGACCTCGGATTCGTGTTCCGAGGGTCGAGGACTAGCCCGAACCTATTTGAGGTTTTCCTTAAAAGTGACGTCCAAATTGAGGTCATTTTTGTTATCTCGGTTATTTGAATCGACCCCCTCGAGCGCCCTACCCTATTCGGAAGCTGCTACCGTGAAAACGAAAACGTTGGAGAAAGTTTTGAGGTTTTGAGGAGGTCAAAGTGGTTAAAGCTAAATATCTCGGGACCCGGAGGACCAATCGGGACGAAACTCCGGTGGGTGGTTAGGGACCCCGGTGGCCAGGGGAGGCAGCCTCCCGCTCCCCCCTCTCTTAAAAATTTTTTTCGAGATCGTGCGCCCCCGGATTTGAAATGTTCTTAAAAATCGAAAATAAGAGCGGGAGGGGCTCGGGGAGGAGGCACGGGGGCTCCCGCTGGCGCAATCGGATCGAAAAAAGCACCGGCTTCCACGGAGTTATCGCGGATCGATCGGCGAGGTCGACAAAAATGGCTCGAAATTGGTTACCTTTTTTCCTCGCGGCGGTCGCGTTTTTCGGTGTCGGGTCGGGGAAGGGGGGATTAATTTTTTTTTTAATTTAGGGGGGTCGGGGCTATCCGCGTGCGCGATCCGAATCTGGCCAAGTGGTACGGGGGGACCGGGCCTTCCGTTTAAATTTTGTCGAAACTTGCTCTAGGAAGAAAAAATGGGTTTTTTCAAAATCTATGAGAACATTCAGGCAACTAACGGTAATGGGGGAAAATTTTGGAGCGGGATAGGAGAGCTATCTTGGCTAAAACGCGATTTTATAATATTTAGGGAGGTAGATTTGGGACCCTGTTTTTGACGATTTTCGTCATCGTCGCGTTTGAAAATTCGCCAAAATTCAGAGAAACGGACAACGGGGCCGCTGATTTTTTTAAAAATAGAGGGGATGGGCGCTTCTAGCGCCCCACCTTGCGCCGAGATTCTGCCAGGGGCGTAGCGGATAATCGAGGTCAAACTTCGATATTTTCAAAAAATATTACCCGATTTGGATTCGCGGCTTTCGTAAACCCCCTTAGGCGAAATTGCGTTCCCTCCGGAAAAATGACCTTGAAATTATGTCAAGATTTCGATACAAATTTTTGATTATCGATATCTCGCTTATTTATAATTGCAGGAGGCCTAAATTTATAGGCGAATCTTTCGCCGAGATCTATCGGACGATATCAAAAAATGGCTTAAACGAGCAAATTTTGAAAAAAAATAAACATTTTAAATAACGACCGATAGGGCCTAAACGGAGGGGCGGAGGGGATAGTTTTATTTTTTTTAAGATAGACTCCACTTTGCTCTATTTTCTAAAAAAAAATTGAGGTTCCTAGGATGATATTTAGTATTTTTGAAAAATCAAAAACCCCTTTAAGTACAGGGTACATGTGGAAATGGGTTATATCGATAAAACGATAAAACGATAAAAAAAAAATAATATCAAATTTGAATTTCTCATCCTCGAAAACCCCCCACACAGAATTTTATTCAGTTTTGAGAAATCATCTCGAAATCGCATTTCGGGTTCAAAAATCGGCCCGAAAATCGATGGTCGATTTTCAAAGTTTAATATCTCGCTTATTTATAATTTTGAGAATTTGAAATTTATACGTCCTATACCTTGGTCCTTCTTCTTCTCTTCTCTTCTATCCGATCGAATAAAAAAAAACTCGCTTTTCGATTGTTTACCATGAAAATTTGAAAGCTCCACTTTCGTTGTGATTTTATTTCGAAAATCTCTCTCGCTTCGGGTTCGGCTCGCTCGCGAAACAAACTTTATAGTATTTTAAAACCTTATTCGAAATAGCGGTCCGTTTCGTTTTTAAACGTCGGCCGAAACATGGAAATAAAACGATCGCTGCGAAGCGGCGAACCTCACCGTCGAAGCCGGGCTCTTTTCCTAGCGTAAATCTGACGGCGTTCAGTCATCCGATTGTCCGTCCGACCATAGTCGAATTCGTTCGCTCGCTCGCTCACCTAACCGAATTTATTAATTTCGACGCGCGGGACTCGTACTCGTGTTGTCGTTGTTTTTGTTGCTGTTGTTTTCCGTCAGTGTTTGCGATAATATGACAGAAAGCGAAGTGAAAGTGTCGACCGCATCGGCCGCTTCTTCTCCGGCTCAAACCTCCGCGACCATTTCTTCGTCTTCGTCGACGACCGTGAAAAAGGAAAAGAAAGCGAAGAATCCCAGAACGAAACCCAACCATCCGCCGACTTCCGAAATGGTAAAAGAGAGAGGCGGTTCTTCGTTGCAAGCCATAAAAAAATACGTGGCTGCCAACTACAAAGTGGACGCCGAAAAAGTGGCTCCTTTCATTAAAAAGTACTTGAAGTAGGCCGTCGCTTCGGGAACTTTGGTTCAAACCAAGGGCAAAGGTGCGTCTGGTTCGTTCAAATTGGCGTCTTCGACTTCCAATTCGGCGAAAAGCGGAGCCGCGTCCTCCTCGGAAAAAAAGAAGTCTGTGACCAGAACGAAGAAAGCGTCTCCGAAAAAAACTACCCGAGAAAAATCTGCCGCAGGTGGTGGCGCTTCTTCGAAGTCCGTAAAAAAGGCGGTCGCCGCCTCTCCGAAGGGAAAAGGAAAAAGCGGGGCCGCCGCATCGTCCGTGGAGAAGAAATCGGCCGCTAAAAAATCGACCCAAAAGAAAACCGCCAAAATCGCCGGAACGGCGGAAGCGGCGTCGATTTAAACCAAATCACCTACGAAAGCCAAGAAATCCAACAAGGGACCGACGAAGAAACCCAAAGCGCCCAAACCCAAAACGGCAAAATCGCCTCCCGTAGCCGCTTACGGCAAAGCTAAAAAGAACGTCTCGCCCAAAAAGAAGAAATGAACCGCCGAGGGAACGTCGATCGGTGTTTAAGAAAACGAAATTTTCGAAACGGTTCTTATCAGAACCACAAAAAAAATCGCTATCGAATTCGTAACCATTTTCAAACGCAAACTCGAATCCCGGGCGTCTCGGGGGTAAATGGAAAACGATTTCTTTAAAAAAATATATGTATATATTTATGAAAAAATCGAAGTCCCGAAAAGGACTTTTTTTCTCTTTTCTATTTCGTTCTCCCGACGACAAACTTATTCTAACTTATCCATCGGCGTCTAAATCGGCATCCCGAGCGAATTTTAAACTGCATCTCGTTTAACAACGATGCGTAGTCGATGCCGACGACGATCACGCAAACATTAAGAGCAATATCCCCGCGAACGTATTTATATGAGAAAAAAGTCCGTTGATAAGCTCCTCCCACCGAAAAGCGAATAGGAGGCGGAGCTTGTTGACCGACTCCGTCAGGATATAAATACGTTCGCCGGGGTTTTGTCACTTTTCGTTCGCGACGGCCGCGTTTCTTTGTTAATAATAATGCCTCCGAAAACCGGTGGAAAAGCCGCGAAAAAAGCGGGCAAAGCTCAGAAAAACATATCGAAAAATGACAAAAAGAAGAAAAGCAGGAGGAAGGAAAGTTACGCGATCTACATTAACAAGGTATTGAAGCAAGTACATCCCGACACCGGCATTTCCAGCAAAGACATGTCGATCATGAATTCGTTCGTGAACGACATTTTCGAGAGGATCGCTGCGGAGGCTTCTCGTTTGGCGCATTACAACAAGCGATCCACGATCACCAGCACGGAAGAAACTCGTTGCGTTTTAAAGGTGTTTTAGGAAACCGTCATCAGAGACGCGGTAACCTACACGGAGCACGCCAAACGAAAAACGGTAACAGCAATGGACGTGGTGTACGCCCTGAAACGACAAGGTAGAACTCTTTACGGATTTGGTGGCTAAATTTTTCGTCGATCTTGCTGAAGCGAAAAAGCACAAAAAAAAGGTTCTTTTCAGAACCACAAAACACGTTCCAAAGATTATTCGTTTTTCGTGTATAATGCGCAATAAGCCATTATCGAATCGAGGTAAGTTTTGAATTTTTAATTTCTCCCCGTGTTAGTGTGATAATTAAATCTGTGAAATAAACGAAACAAAATCTCAAATAGAAAAGCATTTGTGGTCCTTAGAAGAACCATTCTCCCATCGTCTTCCTTCCCGGCAAACTTTATTTAGTTTTGTTGTCGGTTTTCTTAGGCAACAGAACCGCCTAGCGATCGTTATTTCGGATAATAATTTGTTCAATTCCTCGGATCGGCAATTATAAATGTCGAGGTATTATTCCGATTTTCTTATTGTCCGAAAGAGAAAACGGAAAAAGAACGTTTCTTTTTAAATAATCTGTTAAATAAACGAAACGAAATCTCAAATAGAAAAGTATTTGTGGTCCTTAGAAGCACCGTTTTCCCATCGTATTCCCTAGCGACAATTTTTCTTTAGCTTTGTTGTCGGTTTTCTTGGGCAAAAGAACCGCTTGAATGTTCGGCAAAACACCTCCCTGAGCCATCGTTACTCCCGATAATAATTTGTTCAATTTTGTAAAACTTCGCCTGAATACTGTGTGCATGGAATAATGGAATAGGACCTCGGTTCCTGGTTTTCGGAACCCCGAGGTAATGATTTATACGAACGGATGGGGGCATTCGTATTGCGACGTTAGAGGTGAAATTCTTCGAAATCGAACTTTTTTTTACGTCAAAAGGTATATACCGCGCCTTCCGCAAAAATGTGTGTCGATAACAACGCCGACGACCCTTTTTCGGAGACGAAAAGCGTTAAACCGATCGAAAAAAGATTACCCTAAACGGTGGATCACTTGGCTCGTGGGTCAATGAAGAACGCAGCTAATTGCGCGTCAACTTGTGAACTGCAGGACACATCAACATCGACATTTCGAACGCATATTGCGGTCTTCGGATTCTGTTCACGGACCACTCCTGGCTGAGGGTCGTATCTAATTTAAAGAGTGCTCGGTTTTTTCGCCCGCGAGGCGCGAGAAACGTCGGAGCGAGTTGGACGTGTAGCGCGGGAAGGAGAAGAGCACGTTCGCGCTTAGCGCGCGATCGCTCCTCCCGGTCTTCCGACGTTTTAAAACGCGAAAGCGAAACTCCGACGTCTATTTTCGACGCACCGGTTCGTCACGTCGCGCTCGTTTAAAACCGAGAGACGAGCGTATTTAAACCGTCCGAGTATGTCGCAGGTCAGCGCAAAATTGACGATCGTCGTGTCCGTTATTTTCTCGATAAGAAGAAAAGGTGTCCGACGTCTGATCGTTTGCGGCCGCTTAACGAGTGGATAGCGGTTTTAAATATAAACGCTGAACCGTTTCGAAATTCCCGTCTACGCTTTATATATAACATATCGATCGACCTCAGAGCAGGTGAGAATACCCGCCGAATTTAAGCATATTAATAAGCGGAGGAAAAGAAACTAATTAGAATTCCCTCAGTAGCTGCGAGCGAACAGGGAAGAGCTTAGCACCGAATCCCGCGGCCGATACCAGGCGCCGAGAAATGGGGTGTTAGGGAGGTTCCGTTATCCCGAGATCGTCCGCCGCGTCCAAGTCCTTCTTGAACAAGGCCACAGCCCATAGAGGGTCCCAGGCCCGTAGAGACCGCCGTCGATCGCGGGAGGGATCTCCTCAGAGTCGGGTTGCTTGAGAGTGCAGCCCTAAGCGGGTGGTAAACTCCATCTAAGGCTAAATATGACCACGAGACCGATAGCGAATAAGTACCGTGAGGGAAAGTTGAAAAGCACTTTGAAGAGAGAGTTCAATAGTACGTGAAACCGTTTAGGAGTAAACCTGAGAAACCCGAAAGGTCGAACGGAGAAATTCATTCGCGTTTTGCAGTCGGCGCGAGACGTTCGCGCGACGGGGAGGACAGTTACCTTTTCCGCGCCTTACGTTTTTCGACCCGGCATCGAACGCGTGCACTTTCCTCCTGGTAGGACGTCGCGATCCGTCGGGCGTCGGTCTAAGATCCGCGGCGGAGCCCGCGCGGTGTTCGAATCGAACCGACCTTCGCTCGTAAAAAGCGTGACCAATCTGCGACGCTATGACTTTGGGTACTTTCAGCACCCGTCTTGAAACACGGACTAAGGAGTCTAGCATGTGCGCGAGTCATTGGGATTCGCTAAACCTAAAGGCGTTATGAAAGTAAAGGTTCGTCTCGCGCGAACCGAGGGAGGATGGGTGATTCGCCTTTAAAGCGGTCGTCTCGCACTCCCGGGGCGTCTCGTTCTCATCATGAGAAGAGGCGCACCAAGAGCGTACACGCTGGGACCCGAAAAATGGTGAACTATGCCTGGTCAGGACGAAGTCAGGGGAAACCCTGATGGAAGTCCTTAGGGATTCTGACGTGCAAATCGATCGTCGGAACTGGGTATAGGGGCGAAAGACTAATCGAACCATCTAGTAGCTGGTTCCCTCCGAAGTTTTCCTCAGGATAGCTGGCGCTCGTAGCTTACGAGTTTCATCCGGTAAAGCGGATGATTAGAGGCATTGGGGTCGAAATGACCTCAACCTATTCTCAAACTTTAAATGGGTGAGATCTCCGGCTTGCTCGAACTATTGAAGCCGCGAGAGACACGAATCAAAATGCCAAGTGGGCCATTTTTATAGATATCAATTCACAAAATAGCCGTTGCAAACACGGTTCAAAATGGGAACACAGCAAACACACGACTACTTAGACTGCATGAAAAACAATAATTTCGTATCCTATTATATTTGGTATAAATAAATGTTTGCCATAAATAAAAATACAACAAAAATTCAAACAAATGATTTGATACAATCAAGAATTGAAACAAATTTTGTTCAAAGGAAATAACAAACTTTAAAATAAATATTTATTAGGGACATTTTTTCAGATATTTTTGGTGATCATGTTCCTACTTTTCCCGGAAACTAGAAAACAAAATAGTAAAAAAGTCCACTTATTTTTTGACTGGTAGAGAAATGGTTAAATTTGGTACACTTCGATAGAATATTAATGGTACATTTTATTTGTTATATCACTTATAAATAATTTTTCTAGGCACTTATTCCAATTGGCATCATATCAAAAGACCGCGCTGCTCAATGAGGCCCACAAGTTTTGGCGCATCCTTATCACAATGAAGGTAATTTTTACTTTGTTCATGGAACAGAAAATTAACTTGATTGTCCTATCTACTCGAAATGTATTTACTATTTTTAAATTTAAAATATAGCTATATAGCTTAACACTTAGCACAAATTGCGCCCCAACCATTTCTAATACGTTGCGCTGGTGTTTGTATGGTGCCCTTAAAAAGTTGTGGGAAAACAAACTACGCATCTGTAATTTAAACTCCCCTTGCGAAGGGGGCTGCGTTTAGGTAATTTTCAGAAGCCAACCGACCGTAAACTAAATAGATATGTAAACGTTCTCTATTGACTAGTCATTTCTACAAGTATGTGAAAATCTCCCACGTAGATACACGTGATTCGGCCATTCGTGTGTTAGACAGGCCGTCAATTATTCTAGGAAAGTCGCCACCGCCATTCGTAAAACTATTAAAACATGTTGCGTTGCATTAATGCATACACGAGTAATCTCGCTGCACGGGAGATATTGAGGGTTTTGTTGATACTGACCATGGATAAAGAAAATAAATAGGTGTTTAACTTAAACTTGCGAAGAGCAAATTCATCGTAGTTTGCATTACAACCGCTTGTTGCTAAACTGTCATTTCATTTTGAATGTTACCCATTGATGGTGTACGATTTTAGGATTCTCTTTTTGCAATTTTTTCCACTTAATTCCACTTAAAACTTAACTATAAGTTGGTAAAACATGTTTCGTTATTGTACTTCTGATGTCCTCTCCATAGAGGCTTGTTAATTTATCAAAAAAAAACATCCACAGCCTCCTACATCGGTTGTTTGTAACTTAATCTTGCTAACTTTCTGCTTTTGCGCTTGATCTACTCTCCATAAAGGCTTGTTAACTTTTCAAGGAAACTTCCACAAGCTACTGTAATACTGTTTTCAATCCTTGTGGATTCCTACTGCGTCGGTTGCTTATAAATTCAACTTGCTAACTTTCTGTTTTTGCGCTTGATGTCCTCTTCATAAAGGCTTGTTATTTGTTCAAAGAAACTTCCACAGGCTACTGTAATGCTATTTAAATTTTTTCTGGATTCCTCCTGAATCAGTTGTTTATCAATCACACTTGTTAACGTTTTACTTTTGCGCTTGATGTCCTCTTCATCAATGCTTGTTAATTTTTCAAAGAAACTGCCAGATTTGTAATAGATCTCTTTAGCTTCATCTGTATATCTAGCAAAATATAAAATGTAGCTCTTGATTGTGCTTAAATTTGTATAAAGAACCATATTGTAGCAAAAGTTGTTCTAGTTCAAACGAAAAATACACCACTTCATGGAAATTGGGAAGATTTTTTACATTATATTATAAACAACAAATATGCCTAGTATAGAAAAATAGTGGGTTTTAAATAATAAATATATAATAACTTGAATTTATTGGAATGCAAAATCTCACCTTCTGTTCTGTTTTAAAAATGTTGGGAATATGCCTTAGACTGTAAAAACTGTATTATTTAAATTTTTAAACAGAAGATACTAAACAATTAGTTTTTTTTATTGACCCTTATAATAGGCGAAACTTGATTATATGTGTTACGCAAAAGTTATTAACAAAGTGCATTTTCATGAGTATACTGCAAGAGTTCCCGAAAATTCATATATTGGGAGTAAAATTTAGTTCACACTCTAATCAAATTTGGCAGCAC